AGCATTCGGCAGTTTCTGGATAGCGCGCGCTTCCGTTTGACCCGGGTAGGCAGAACGGGGATGTCCGCCTTAGTGTAACCGCCCCGAAGCAGTGCGATTATTCCAAAGCGTCAGCTGAAGTGTTTGTTAGCTCCTCGTTGAACGCATACACAGCGGAACTCAATCCTAGCCCAAAGCCGCGAACGGCATGTTCGGCTTTATTTACATACGCTCTAGTTACCCAGGTGAAAATTCCTGTTGGTTTTCTGTTGGTTCCAGTATTGATGGTTTATTAGCACATTCCCCGTAGTTGATGGGACCAGTAGGTGATGGGACCAGTAGGTGATGGGACCAGTAGGTATTGGAACCAGTAGGTAATGGAACCAGTAGCTGATGGAACCAGTCACTGAAACAGTATCCGAAACCAGCAGCTACTGGTTTCAGCTCAGGGTTGCATACATGCAACAAAATTGTTACTCACCGAGATGGAGGACGCCCCCAATCAACAAGGTGGTGCCCAAACGAACTCAAATGCATGTTTCTGCCCAATTTAGCAACTTTAGGGTTACAAGCACATAACTTTTATGGCTATCCAGATGGTTGTGCCATTCGATTAGTAAGTCAGTGCTTATTGTAACTTGCACGTTCTACATTCCTGTGCCAAGTTAACAGCATGCATTGGGCGTTAAACAAACAGCCTTAGTGTTTAAGAATTTATTGTGCTTGATCGTCAAACATCTGCTTGCGCACTTTCGATTTCAGGAGATCTTGGATCTTCTCAGCCAGGATCCTGGGCAGATTTTTTTCCGTGTCAGCAGTGTTGACGTCTTTCTGCTGTCCCCAGTGCTTGAGTGTTTCTACAAACAGACGAGTCGATTTTGAGCATTAGACAACAAAAAGTAGTGATTGCGGCAACGACAACTGCCACACCATAGAGGCAGAGCTTGGGTTTGAGCACTAAAGCTCCGACATCACTGGATTAGGAATGTGCATGACTTAGTTTCACAAGCTCCACAAAACCCAAGTTGTCCTGTTCGGCAGCTGATGGCAGTTAAATTTGGTGCACAGTTTCATGTGCAACAGATTGTCAGTTGAGCATAGGAGCCTACCATGCACCCCATCAAATTTAACCCAAACTCAGAGATATCTTTCCATATTTCCAGTACAAAGTGCAACTTCTGTTCACCCTATATACCAAAATTTTGTTTTGACAACTCGCAAAGCAAACAGCATGAATTTCACTCTTTCATTTTCGTTCATGCTGCCAGGCTGTGTAAAGATGACTTCCTGCATGCGCTGTGGAAAACTATTCATGCTAGTTGTACCTGACACAACAAGAAGTTTCTCCGGTGTCAGCGGCTGCTTGGGCTGCTCCCCCAATGCTCTCTTCCTGGAGCCAACGGTCCCTGTGACGCTCCTAGATGCAAGAACGTTGCTTCCCCATATAGCGTGGGCAGCATCCTTCACCACCAAGGTAGCCTTCTTGTTCCCAAATATTTTTTTTGCACACACACCACTTATTGTTACGCCTTTCGTCAAATGGAACTGTGAAAAAGCAAAATAATGGAGGAAAATCCCTACTGTAAGGAGCAATGAAACAAAAAATGCTGCATGTTACTTCTGCTAAACATACAACAAAACTAACAAATTGTTTAACCAATGCACCTGGCACAACACAACGATGTAGCACATGAATAGTATGTACAGTCTATCACACTTGTCTATGGTGCACAAGTGGTGTGCTGCAAATCAAATGCAGTAAAATGTTATTGGTTACTCTGTTAGAGACAATGCTTTTGAGCCTGTGCGGTTCATCTAGTATATTCAACTGCACATGAATGCAAGAAGTATCAGTGAAATTGAGTATCTGCTTTAGAATTTTGCCATATTTCATCCACACAGCACTGCTCAGGTGCTCAAGACAGGTGTGATCAGCACTGTACACCTTGCTATTGCTGATAATAAAAAAGAAAAACTGTGTGCTGGTCCCAACGGTATTCATACTTCTCTCAAAAAGTACACTGAGTAAAACTGAAGACTTGAGCATGCTAAAAAAATAAAAATGGTAAACATGCTGCAAGCAAGAAGCTTTAAGAAAGCTTTCGTAATTAACTATACCACCTAGATCTATAGAGTAGCTGTGACTACCAATAGAAAAAAAAACGGTTAAGCATGAAAAGCAGCTGCAGACAGTGACATTAAATTTCGAGCAAATTACTTACAGAGCCATCTTCCATATAAATGAAATCTCCATTTGGGCCTGCAAGAAAGATATCAGGTCCTTGTCATGGCACAAAAAAAAAAAATTATTGTCAGAATATCTGAGGTGACATCTGAGCTGACCTGGATGTGTAGTGTTCTTTTCTCCACCAACAGTGCTTGTCCTTTCCTCTGGTTCTACAGCAGTAGATGAGCACGGTGCTACGCAACATTTAGAATTATTCAAAAATGGCTTATCTTGGTGCACAACTTGCTCTAATTGAAACAAAGTTTACTGTCTATGAAACCAGAGCTGTTACTTACGGAGAACACGTTCACTGCAGGCCATGTTGTCCATAATCAACAGATCTAAAGTTACAAAGATATAGTGACAGTAACTGTCACTCCAGTTTTGAAATGCAGGGAAGTATTATAAAAGAAGCAAAGTACTCACTTCCGACGAAGCTTTCTCCTTCATCTGTCTCAGAATGTGCTGTAATAAAAATGATTCAGGTGTAAAAGTTTAGATTTCAACCCCTCAAGCCTGTTAAATCTGGATGCTTTTGTTTAAAGCTTCATGCTAGTCAGAGCGTGCCTTAGAGCATTGGCTGCTTCTAAAAGCTACGATGAGGTGCACATCTCCAAGTCAATTCACTTCGGACTTTCAAACCAAAAATCACAATGTAACATAGCGATAAACCATACCAAGGAAAAATTTTGTTCGTTCGAGGTTTTCTCGATTGGCTACTCTGTTTTACAGTTCAAACTTTACTTTCATCTATCCACCTCCACTTTCAAAGAACCAACATCATTTCATTATCATGGCACTAGCATCTTCTATATTACATACTGACTGAAGCTGCCATCTTACTGCAGAACAGCTGAACTTACACTCCAAAGTTAATTCATGCTGTGTTTGGCGGGCACTTTTTCAAAACAAATAAAAAGTGCAGCACTCTTTGAACTCGTTCGGCAAGTTCATCAAGTAAAGCCAAATCTCTATAACCTTTACTTTGCACATACTACTGAGCGAGTTGCTTAGACAAAATATGAATAAATAAATAATAAAAAGCTGACTTCATTAAACAGGTCAAAGTATGCTATATTACTGTCCCAGTGAAATATGGAACTGATGCATTTACTCAAGAGCATAGGTGTATGCAGTTCTTATGGGGAAACAAACCTGACAACATGCCCCGACTGCAAGGCACCCGGTCTTGTTCTACTGCAACTGCATGTACACAAAAAAAGGGTGCACAAGTTTTTATGTAGCACATGAGTTGTCATGTAATCATTATACATGGAGCTTTTGTCAAGTAAATAATGCAGAGCAAAAAGCATTCTTACGCTTGAAAAGCTTGCTTTCAAGGGATCTCTGCAGGCTTGCAACCTGCTGCTTTAGAAACTGGTTGTCGTGCTGCAGCTCCTCAGCACGCAATTTCCACATGTCTCTGTCCTTCTCAAGCTCTTTAACCACCAGCGCCTTCGTTCTCGCCTTCCACACGTCTTTCTTCTTCTTCATTTGAAGAATTTCACTTTTTGGGCACAATTCATCACTATCGGAGGACCCGCTGTCCGACGGAGTGTCTGTCCCTTTCCTTGGCTGAAATTTCATCATGCAAAAAATGACTTCATGAATTCACTAGGATGGCTTGGTGGGCTAGTTGGTATTGCATCTTGAAGGCTACTGTGCACAATAGACAGGAACAACAGAAGCAACACAAGTATCGGCGCTTCACTTTGTGCTTTCTTCTGTTGTCCCTGTCTATTTATTGTGCCCTAGCTGTAGCCTTCAAGGGTCTCATGAGGGTTTTGCTTTCAGTAAAAAAAAATGCTTCTTTTATAGTACAGTGCACTAATGAAGACCATGGCACACTTACCTGTGCTCTAGGTTTACGCCCAGAGTGCGCTTTTTCCAGATTCTTTTTAAGAATTTCGTCATACATGTTTTTTTTAGCATTTGCTCTGTCGTTCTTTTGTTTCTGAAAGAAGTCGAAAGCACAATTACAGATGATGATCAATGCAAGACCAGCAAGTTTTCAGCCGTTTCAAAATGTAGGCAGCATAAATAGCAACCTTTCTTTCAGCCTTTTTTCTTTTTGTTTGGGACTCCACGAGCTCATCAGGATCATCATCTGACGTCGTTTCTTGCATAGGTATTTTTGGTATCACCAACCTCTTGGCCCGCATTTTCGCGCGGGCGTCATCTTCGCTTTCTGTAAGAAATTACGACTATAAAATTGGAACCGTAACATTTCACATACCACACATACCTGCCAGCATCAAGACTTGCGTGTTGTACAAACCAGTGTTTGTGTCATCCACGGGGTCTCGCCAGTACGCGCTGTAAACAAAGCGGTTGTCGTAGTCGCTGGTGTCTTTGGGATCAAACTTCTCGATGTCATGCACGTGAATGACGTGTAACCGTTTGTCGTGATCGTCCAGGAAACGAACAACAGCGTACATGGTAGTACTGATGATTTAACAAAGCCTTAAATGGCATCACACACACACCAATCTCTGAAAAAAATGTAGCAGTCGCGTGTCGCGCACGTGTCGTGTCCATTAAAAATAACACCATAACAACTCCTAGCGGCAAGACTGGGCAATACCAATAACTGCGTGCGGAACAAAATAAATAAATAAATACACCTATAAACAAATAAAAAATGCTTTAAATAAGCTTATAAACAGGTGTAAAAACTGTTCATGTTATAAACAATGTATAAACTTACTAAGATATAATTAAATAGATATGTGTTTTTGAAATCCGGGTTGCAATCCAACTAATTCAACGCCGTACAAGCCAATCCAAGTCGTTTGATTGTGTGAGATCATGGAGAATGTGCGAGTCCGAGCGAACTATGAGCGAACTGTCGTGATTGTGCGCGTGAACACAACGTGTGGCTTCATTACTTAGAAGGTTTTCGGTGAGTTTGCAGTGCGATATTTGCGTGGATCCGCACTGAGGGAGTATGCCTCGTAGAAAGGAATACCTAAACCCAGGCAGCGCCTCCGCCATCCCGTATTCAACGAAAACATATCTCGAAAGATCAGCCTCGAGCGTGCAACAATCACGTCGTGGACTGCAGCAGGACACAAATGTCGCTGGCGGGTCGACTGCTCCGACAGCACTTCGCGTACTGACGCAACCTCCGCAGACTGATGTTGAAGGCGACTGTGACTCTGAATCGGCACATGAAGCGGCCCCAAGTGACGAGCCGCAGCCTTCCGTTGGCGCAGAAATGACAGACGAGCCACAGGGAGATTTAGGGAGCTTCTCTAGTGACGATTTGCTGGCACTGACTGTCAATTTTGTCCTCGAATTTGGCATCCCTTGGAAGGGAGTCGAAGCACTCCAAAAGTTGATAATGCACATACTTGAACGACATGATATACCAGTTACTAAATATCTTTTCAAGAAGAGTGTCGGGGCAGAAATAAAAGCCGCCCGGTTACACTTCTACTGTGAAAACTGTATGACGCTCCTTGCCGTAACAAGTGGCGACCTTGCAGCGCGGAATGCAGTGCGGGTAACGTGCACCGTATGCGGGCAACGTAACAGTGGGCCGCAGATGCTACGCGATGGCCACTTTTTCATAACCCTGCCCATCGCAAAGTTGCTGTCTTCGTTACTTGCCGAGAATGATGCGAGCACTGCACTCCACGAAAGACTGAATTCAATAAACGAGAGTATGTCTGTCGACAAAGATGAAATGACAGACATAATAGATGGCACCTTATACAGGGCACTTAGGCGCGAATTGACATCAAAAAATGATATCACTCTCACTGTTAACAGTGATGGAAGCGCCGTGTTCAAGTCATCGAAGTTTTCTGTGTGGCCCGTTCAAGTGATGGTGAATGAACTCCCAGTGTACATGAGGCAGAAAAATGTGCTTGTGTCTGCTCTGTGGTATGGCCAGAAACATCCCGACATGACTCTCCTACTGAACGCATTTGTTGAACAAATGGACGGTTTGTCGACCAGTGGGATCACATGGAAGGCAGGCAACGAAACTGTGCATTCCAAGGTAATTTTTTTTTAATTATTAAAGCTGCTTGAACAACACGACTTCAAGACATTCTAGTTGTAAATGCTGCACTGAGCTACAATGCATAGACGAGGCTACATTGTTGTGCCAGCTAATTTCTTCCAGTCATGATGAAATCCAGGCCACTTGGGCATAATGACACCATGGAGGATGGCACACTAGTTCATCTTTGTGTGTATTCTTTTCTAGTGCGACTTTATCTCTAAATACTGTCAATTATCTAAGTGTCAAAGTGGTATTTACTGCATTGTGTTTACTGTAACTGTTACAACTTACGGAGATCATGTCCCTTTATGCAAAAGCATGAAAAGTGCTTCTTCTGAATGGATTGTTATCAATTGAAAACTGTTAATAACATCACCCGATCTTTTCCTTGTCCTCAATGTCTACTGCAATAATTGACTTGTGTCTGGCAAAGAAAACAAGCCCTCTATCCATTTCCTTTTTGTTGTACTTCATTGCAGAGGGTAGTTAGGGCTAACAGCTTCCTTTTTTGTCCTTGCTCATGCAGGTGTACTGCTTCAGCTGCAGCGCTGATGCACCAGCACGGGCAGCCATGCAGCACCTAACCCAGTTTAATGGGTATTATGGCTGTGGATGGTGCTTGCATCCAGGGGCAGCTGTGAATGGTTAGTAAAGATGTCGCATTACTGCATAACATGGAGTCAGATTTCTGACTAGATATGTTGATCAGAGTTTCTCTCTTTTTAGCAATTTTTATGTAAACATTCACCTTGTTTAATGTATCTGGGGTTGCCATTTCTCATCTCAGAGGCAAAAATGTGCTTTATGTCGTAGCGATTCTATGTTTCCAAATTCTGGCACATAGTATGTTTTTCTAAATGTGTTCTAGAAGTAAATTCTCAGAAATATCACTGAAAACAAGTGTGCCATTTACAATCAAGCTTAGCTGTGCGAGATTTTACAAACTTCTAAATTTGTGAGGTTCTCTGTTTTTTTTTCTTACTATTGCCAAACAGGAACTGTCAAGTATCCTGTGGACACTGTTTCACCTGACAGGACAGCAGAAGGCACAAAGGAAATCATGGCCAAGGCTGCTGAAGCTGGAAGACCAGTACAGGGAGCAAAAGGCATCACGCCTTTGATTAATCTTCAGCACTTTAATATAATCTGGGGCTTTACTCCAGATTATATGCATTGTGTGCTTCTAGGTGTGGCACGGCAGATGACGGAGGACTGGCTCTCTAATGTAGGCGAGGAATATTACATTGGGGCACCACAAACTGTGGCAGTATTAGATCAACGTTTGTGCTCTATAAAGCCGCATAGCTGTATGCCACGACTTCCCCGCTCAGTTTCTCTGAGAAAGTATTGGAAAGCCTCGGAGTGGCAGCAATGGCTACTGTATTTTTCATTGCCTTGTCTGGAAGGCCTACTTCCACGGCAGTATCTTAAACATTTTGCATTGCTTGTGAAAGGTATTGCCCTTCTTCTGCAGGACACAGTGTCCCTCAGTGACATTTCTGTAAGCACAGACTGCTTGGTAAAGTTTGTTGTCGACATGCAGTTTCTCTATGGAGAAAAAAACATGACTTTCAATGTACATCAATTGTTGCACATGGCTCAGAGTGTTCTGAACCAAGGACCTCTTTGGGCACATTCATGTTTTGCTTTTGAGTCTAACATTGGCCAAATTAAGCAGCTGGTCACATCAGCAAAAGGTGCCCCACTGCAGATTGTAGAGCGCTTAATGATGGCCAGCAACTTCAGGTATCTAAAGGCTTCAGCTAGCCCTTGCACTCTGAAGTTTTTGACAAAAGCTGGCCCATCAAATAGTAAGGTGGTTTACTGCTCAGCAAACCCCGAGCTGTGTCTGACCAGCTGCTTCACCTTGTGCAGGACCATGTTGGCAACATCGTTAGGGGCCGTGTCATGGAACATGACCGAGTGATTGTATCACCGGGTGTTCGGTTTCACAGTGAGCAGTACTCAAGGCCGAACAAAAGTGACAGCACTGTATTGCAAATATATTTGGGAACGTGCTTGAAGTTGAAGCACATTGTTTCTATTAGGGATTCGTCAGGAAATGTAAGGATTTTTGCACTGTCAAACAAATTCTTGTCACGTCGTGCATTTGGCACTGAGCACATAATGAAATCAGAGGATGCGAATTCCCAACAGCTAGTGGAGCTGTCTGCCAGTGTTGTCCCTTGCAACTATGTAGAGGTCAATAGAAAGTGTTTTTTTCAGAGAATTTCTTTGAAAATGCTCTCTGGTGGTTGTTAAAGGGACGCTTAAGAGCAACATTGAATTAGTTTCATCATTCTATAAAAAGGTCTCATCATATAAAAATCGCACCAATACCTTCTTATACCTACTTTTTGTACTTTTTGTCAGAAACACTTCACATCTGTAAAATTAGTTTTTTTTGTTCCTTGTGTGTTGTGGCTTTATTAATAATTCACTGCTCAAGCCACCTTCTAAATTACAATGATATGAGTAGAAACCTCAGATGTGTACACCGCATTGTCATTGCATGTCAAGCTGTTAAATGAATGGGCTGTTAAAAAGAACCTCCACATGTCAGTGAACTGCAGGTGTAGATGTTTGTGGATTGTGCAGTGAAACAGTTGTTTTTAGAGGAAGTGAGAAATGCCATTTTCAATTGATTTAGCTATTGCCAATTTGTGCAAATTCATGCTGTATACTGTCGAGTGCCTCTTGAATTACTAATAAACTTCATGATTGTGAGTATTGACAATTCTCATTGTTTAAGCCCAGCTTTAGCCCTGTCTCTGGGTGTAAACATTTTGTATTATAAAAAAAGAAGAGAAAGTGTGCGCTGTTGTACAGTACAAGGTTTAATGTGCACTGGGTTGGTCAAATGTTCCCAGGCAGTGCTGTCATAAGATTACAAGCGTAGCAGCCTGGGAACGTTTGAGCACCCCTTTATATTTGAACACACCTTGTGTGTTCAGGGTGCATGCAACTCTTCAAAATTCCTCCCTTTTTTCTCTGTATCCTTTGTACATGTATGTTTCCAAATTAAATAACAATAAAACCATTGAAATAAAAAAGAACATATTCGAAGCCTAAAAGTCTAGGAATTTGTCTATGAGCTGCTTCTTTGTGCTTAGGCAGCAGTGTAGATTCACCAAACTTCATTTCAGCACCAATATGCTTTGTTCTTCAGGGCATTAAAAATATGAAACACTGTTAATGAAGCGATAGACACCTACTGTGGCTTAGGTGCTGGCTCCCTTCTGGTGTTGCACTGTTTTCTTCACGACATTTTTTATTGTTCATTTCCCCACCTGTACGTCAACCTTGTCGTACATTGTCTCTTTCTCGACTTATCTCTCTGCTTCACTATGTCTCGTGCATTTATGCCACAAAATTGGTTTCCCCATCATGTGAGCAGCATGTTAAGTTAGTATACTCCAACGAAGCAAAGCCTAGTTTATGCTTAAAAAGTCTCCGCAGCTAATCTGAACATTTTTTGTGTGTAGTGAACTACTTCTTGTGGAATAAAGGCTTCACTATCACAAGCACTATGTTCATTATAATATAAACTTATTAGAACTAGTCAGAATGTTGAAATGCAGAGCACCCACAAAAATATTCTTTGGATATCTTCTTTAGTCCTTCGAAAACCCAAGACACTGCCTTGAATTCCCTTGACTTTTGTTTTTGAAACCTGTATAAACAGTCTCTACGTCATATTTCTCTATACTACATCTTAATTGCTCAATGTATTGGCACACCACTTTCAAGTACAGTAAAGTCTTAGTTATAATCAGAAGATACAAGCCTCATGATTGAATGTTTCGGCTAGTTAGAGTTCTCAGGAAACCACGAAGTGGACCACCACTATAATCAGTTCAAGCAGCTGAGAACCGTCCGGTATTGCCTAATGGTCCCAGCAGCATCCCAGGGTGAAACCAGTAGCCTGCTTGAACCAGTACAGAAAACCAGCAAGCATCCTGCTGGTACCAGTAGAGCCAGCAGACAGGGTACTGGTCCCAGTAAAGAACCAGTAGGCACCCCACTGGAACCAGCAGAAAACCAGTAGGCACACTGCTGGAACCAGTACAACCAGCAGGTAGCTTGCTGGGACCATCAGCAAACCAGTAAGAACCAGTAGGCACTTTGCTGGAACCAGCAGAAAACCAGTAGGCACCCTGCTGGAACCAGTACAACCAGCAAGAAACCAGCAGATTAACTGCTGGTTCCATCAAAAACCAACAACTCCCAACAGAAAACCAGCAGGAAATTTTCACCTGGGTACTGCGGTCGGTCTGCGATCCACTGTTTTGAATTCTACTGTATACATTTATTTCGTAGGAAGTTGCCTGATTAACGAGTTCATTTTTGTCGCGCCAAGTACGGAGAAGGGATGAGAAGTCGCCGAAAAATTAAAAAAAAAAATGCCGCTAGGGGCCACATTTTGGCAAGTCCACTCGTGGAAAAGTTGCCACCAGGGGCATTCTTGTTCGTTTTGGTCACTAACTTGTGCATTATGGCTGTGTGGTCAAGTGCATGACAAGTTAGCCAGAGGTACTTTTAAATGTTTAATCTCTAATGCTGCAACCGTATTTCACATTAATCCTTGCATTCTCATTCACTAGCACAGTGATCTCATTCCTGAATCATCTGCTGAGCATGAAAAATTTTCTCAACATCAAGAAACGTTGCTTCTTCTAAATCTGATCAGACCTTACCCACAGAACCGTAGTATTGTGCTGATGGTGCACCACCTTGAAAATGTTAAGGGTAGCACCATTACTGATGGAGGGAGATAGTATGCACTAACACTACCCAATTTTACTATTGGGGGGCTGTTTTGTGAAGTAATTAAGCAGTGTGAAGTTTTTCAAAGGTGATTCTTGCCTACAAGAGTTGAGAAATGCAACTGCGCAATTGACTATTAATTTCACATAAAATGTAGGTAGTTTTAATGAATAGGTACGAAATGACACTGCGAGTATAAAGATGTTATTCAAAATATGCATTATGCGCTCTATCTCAACGATATCAGTGATGAACGAACCGAAGAAATTCTTGTTCCCATAATTCCTGTGGCCATGACAAGACCCAGTCCTTCCAAGGGTCTCTGTCGCACTAGGTAAAGCACTTCCCTTTCAGATGTTTCTTTAGGGGACTAGACACATATGGTAATTGCAGGTGATGAATGTTGGCCTGTTTAACACCTTTGGCTGTCAAAAATCTGATAACACGGTGCTACTCCTTAATCGTCAAACTTTGCTATGTGAACGCCGTCTTTATATACTTGTATATGATCATGTTTTTATATGCTCTTTATACGAGCCTCCATGCTCAGATTCAAGGCAGAGATTCCAATCGCATCCTTAGATGTCTCGCTATGTTCTCCCGTAGCATCATAGGCATCTATGTTAATGGTCATGTTATGACTGTTGGTACCTTTTCGTCCGAATTCTCCTTTCTTTAGTTTTGCAGTACAAGGGATAGTGCCATCATTATTCTGGTGTAAAGTTTGACAATTCCGTAATACATTACAGTATGTGGTCTATTGATATATTTAAAAGATTCTAGTGACTATAATTTTCATTAAGCAAGTGTTGACATTTTTCTTTTTACTGTAGAGTCCCACACTTTTAAAAAACTAGATTGAATACTGTTTCTTTCTTTTGTTACAAATCACTTGATAAAAGTTGAAATTTCGTTTAAAGTGGTGTATTAGTCATCTAAGAATCGGTGTGTGTTACGGTTTCCTTCACGTCATTCTTTTTACATGCAGTGACTGATGAAGCATATGTCACGTTGGCAACGGACGACACCTACTCGCTGGGTGCCCTTGTGTTGGCTCACTCGCTCAAGAGGGTGCATACCTCACGGCAGCTGGTCATCCTTGTCACCAGTGCAGTCACTACACAGATGAGGTGAGGACAAGTGGGAAGTTTATTTTCACTGCAGTTCAAAGCCCCCCCCCAACACACAATGCTCTTGCCATCTCTTTTGCATCTAGTAATGCTAGCTAATTTCCACCGGAGATTGATCTGTTCATTTTAGCTGGGACCATTGTGCATATTTTGCTCCCCCTAGTTTATGTGGGTGCTGATATTGCCTATAGAACCTGTCGTGCCTAAATTTATTTTGCTGGGATAACGCTCATCTGGAGTGCGCATGTATGTAAAAATGTTACTAGGGCAATTTATGTAGCACACTTTAGATTACTCAGGATTAACCTTGTAGCTGCAGAATATAAATTAGTCATTGAGGATATGAGTTAATATCAGGATTAATGAGTTATTTGGGCAAAAACACTGAATAGAAAATTTGTAAAACGTTCAGACTAAAATCTGCTATTTAAATGAAATATTTGATAAAAATAATCCCTGAATGTCAAATTGATCATAAAATAAGATACTTTTGATAAAGGGAGAGAGGTGTAAAGCATCCTTAAAGCAAAATAAGCATTGAAAGCTAGACTTCTCAATGAAGGGATTACATGTCTCAATGAAAGGATTAACCCTTTCAGCCCTGAATTTTTTTTTTACTTTCAGATATTATTTTTCTTGTTTTTTCAGTTACTACAACCTCAAGAACAGGAAAATAATTTTTTCTGAACATCTCATCAGTATACAAAAGGCACCATATCCTATTGTAGAACACCGGGGCTTAGTGCTTGTAAAGTGAAATATGATGATTTTAAGTACACATGTTTATTTAGCCCTGTAAGTGCAAGTTATCGTTGGGAAGCTAACATACAGCAACCACGTATTAGTTAGAGCGCCCAAACTGTGCAAAGGCAAGTCTTTGCGCTCGTGGCACACAGCTCCTCATTGCACTTGGCCACCGTCTACTTATTGAACACTGTGAAAGATCCTACGTCATAAAAAATGGATGAATCCTGCTTTGCAGTGCCAGAATTTTGCCCATGTTTGCAAGGGTAAGCTAATTAAACTACACTTTATCATCGTATTCTTCCAGCTACATCATGCACCATTATTATATTTCATAAAACGAATTAAAATATATTACGTATTATCTCACTATTAGACGCCCCTTACATATTATCTAAGTGATGTCTACAGGTTTCTCGACCAGAATAACAAGAAACCGGGAGCTTTTACAAGAGCTACACATCTGGATTGGCCTAAATGCATTCAGAGGTCTGACAAC